GAGCTAGAAGACTGAAACTTTGGGGATATGTGCCCATTCCATGCGCGACCCTTCCATTTTAATTTCATCGCCAGCGAGTGCCTGGGTGACGCGTATGGATGCTTTAAAGAAATATGCAAATTTTTGGCGGGAAAGCGATCTCGGGAAGTACATGAGCTAAGGGGCCGAAACTTTGTAGGGATATTTCCTGTGCATGTGCTAGCTAAAGATTTCAAACTCAGTCTCCAGTTATGCGTGGTACTCACGTAATGGCGTGTGAAAGTTTTAGGGTGGAAATTCCTAACTCAGGTACTAGAAAAAGCTAGAAAGCTGAAATTTTGGAGGGATGTTCCCTTTCAAGTGCAACTAAAATATTTCAAATTCAGCTGAGTCAGCCCCAAGCTATGCATGGTACTCACATAAGGGCGTATGAAAGTTTCTGCAGGAAAATTACTAACTCGGCAACAAGAAGAGCTAGAAGGCTGAAATTTTAAGCCGATGTTCCCTGTCCACATACAATTTAAAAATGTCAAATTCAGCTTTCTAAGCACGTGGAGTACCCAAGTACGGGTGTGTGAAGGTTTTGGCGGAAAATTGCTAACTTGATAACCAGAAAAACTGGAAAACTGAAACTTTGAGGGAATGTTCCCTGTCCAAGTGCAACACAAATGTTTCAAATTCAGCCCCAAGCTATGAGTGGTACTCTCGTAAGGGCGTAAGAAAGTTTCTGCACGAAAATTTTAACTCGGGAACCAGAAGAGTTAGAAAGTTGAAGTTTCAGGGGAAGTTCCCTGTCCAAGTACAACTTAAGTGTTTCATATTCAGCCTTGAGGTATGCTTGGTTCTTACGTACGGGCATTTAAAATTCTTGACGAAAAAGTTCCTCACTGAACAACCAGGTTACTTTTAAAGAATGACTGTTAAATGGAAATTGTACATTTACTTTGCAAAATTTATGCTGATTTATGCTAGTGACCGCAAAAGGTAGGTATACAGCCATTCATACAGTTAATGACTTGAGTAATTCAGGTCCGATGCAAAAGCGCATGATCGCATGGGCCCGCCCAGTGCATTCCAGCTTGGGTTTCTTGTTTGTGTTGTCTTCGCTGTTCTTCAGAACGCTGACGTTGCTGTTATTGTTCTTCTGATACTTTGAACCAAAATGAATGTGCATGAACTTCCTTTTGGTATCACTGATGCTGTCGTTGACGCTGGGTTTCAGGAATTCGATGACATTGTTTTTGTTGTCGTCGAGCTTCATTCGGAATTTAATGTGAAGAGACTTCTCATTATTGTTACCATTGTTGCCCACATTATTCTTTCTAAGGGCTTCTCTGCTATTGTTATCGCTGTAGCTAGAAAATTCCCGGAAAATACTGTTTGTGGATTTCTTTTTATCACCGTTGTAGGCTTCGTTTTGATTCTTAACGGCGTTGCTACCGTTGTAACAAGGATTTGCCCAACACATATAGATAAGAAACTTCTTTTCATTGTTGTTCCTACTGCTGTTGTTGAAACAAAGTCTGTCGTTGAGGTCGGTACTAAAGAAACCGTTAATATCGACTGAGCTATGACTGCTAAGCAATTTGACATTGATATTGTTGTTGCTGTCGCTATACTTTTCCAGAAAGTGAATGCTGATGAACTTCGCTGCATTGCTTTTGTCATCCTGGAAACTATTTTTAAGGGTTTTATTGCTGTCGTTAAATAAATATCTAGAGCGACTCCAAGCAAACCACTTTTTATTACTGTTCTTACTGTCATTCTTATTGTTCGCTTTCAGGACAGTACTACCGACATTATTGATTCTATTAATTATTATGCCGAAATTTATGCGAATGAACTTCTTTTTATCGTTTTCACCCTCGCTATTGTTTCTTCTGAAGTTGCTGCTATTTCTGTTACCAATCACTAAGATAAAACGATGGTTAATGAATTTCCCTTCCTTATCGGTGTTTTTTTCCTCGTTACTGCTTTTAAGTATATCGCTTCTGCTACTCTTGTTGCTGTCGTCACGCCTTTGCCAAAAGTGAATGTAAACGTGTTTGTTCTTAGCGTCTTCGTGCACGGTGTTGCCTTCAAAGCTGTTGCTCTTATTAGTGCCACTAAACAACCAGGAAGGAAAGCAAATTATCCTTCCCTTTTGATCGCTCTTATCCTCCTCGGTGCAGTTCAGGATGCCGCCTTTGTTACTGCTGTTGTCACGAACATTGTTCAAATGAATGAGAATGTATTTCTTAGTGTCACTGTTACTGTTTTCATCGTTGAATCTCAAAATGCTGCAACCACTGATTTCAAACTTATCACCGAATTGGAAGCAGAGCGATTTCTCTTTGTTATGATCGTTGTTGGTCTCGTTATTATTAGAGTTGTTAGTGTTGTTACGGTTGTAGCTGGAATTCTCGCTGAAAATTATGTGGATGAACTTCTTTTGATCGCTGCTTTGGGTCTTGTTGTTGTTTTTCAGGAAGTCAGTGTTGCTGTAATGTCTAGTAACAAATCGTCTTGCAAAATAAATGCGGATGAATTCGATGGAGTTGTCACCATTGCTGCTGTTTCTTTTGCTACCGATACACGTTGATCCAGAATGAATCATTATGAAATAATTTTTAGCGTTTTTCGCCTCGTTGTTGCTCATTAGAATGCTGTTACTCTTGTGGATTTTGATTACCCAGCGGTTGTGGATGCGGGTCTTTTTGTCCTTGCTGTTATTGTTGTCGATGTCACTGATACTTTTGGAACAAAGACTGTGGTCGAGGCTGATGCTGACGGGGCCGCACATTTTGCTTGAGCTGATGTTGCCAATTAATTGTACAGCAATATTTCTCTGAGTATTATTGCTGGCACTGTTGGTGTCCCTAAATTTCTCACAACTAGAAATTGTTATGAAATCCCTTGCACTGCTTCTGCTCTTCATGCTGCTATTCTTCATGATGTTGCTACTGGTTTTATTTCCGTCGTCAGATATGCGTCTGGAATCAGTCCAGTTGATCTTCCATTTACAGCTGCTGTTGTTGCTGTCGTCAGTGCGAATAAATTCCTTTTTATCTTCACTGTTCTCGCTTTTGCTTTCAATAATGTTGCTACTGTTGCTTTTATCAAACGGTAAACGAGAATGAATGCGATTGATTTTTCCTTCTTTGCTGCTGATGTCGTCAGTAGTTTTTTTGCTGTCGTCAAATAGTAGCCAGTTAGGTGACCAAGCGATCCATCCTTTCCTGCCGTTACTGTTGTTGTTTTTGTCCTCGTCATTGGCTTTTATGTTGCTGCTATCACTGCTTTTATTCTCGTTAAATGTTATATCATAAATACAAATGTCATTCTTTTCATCGCTTATTTCCTCGTTGCTTTTAAAGATGTCAGTGTTGTTTCTGTCATCAAATGCTTTCGGGTGCCAAAAAGGAAATATCCATCCCTTTTCGCCGCTGTTGCTGTCCACTTCACTGTACTTCGGGATGTTACTGTTATTGTCATAAACGCAGATGAACTTCCCCTTATTATTGTCGCTACTATTTTTTGAAATATTGTTGCTAATGTTGTCACTATTGGTAAGAAATTCGCAACAGTCCGTTAAAAATAACTCGTCTTTTTTGTAGCTGCCGCTGGGATTGATGTAGATGATGCCGTTCATTTCGTTTAAACTGCCATTGCTAAACAGTTCTACCGTGATACTGTTCTGAGTAATTATCTCTTTATCGTTGCTGTAATTATCTTTTTTGTTCCTATTTTTTAGCTCAGAAAGTGGTCTGAAGCGGATGAGTTCCTTACTGATATCGTTGTTTGGAGAGGTACGGACGCTGTTATCGACGTTGCCGTTTTCAAGTTTTCTGCCAAAATGAGTACGAATAAATCTTTTGTTAATGTTGCTGTTGTTGTTGTTTTTACTGTCATTGCTGTTACTTCTGTTACCAGTGCGTACTATTCCGAAATGAATGCGAATGAACTTTCCTTTAACGTAGTTGTTGTTGCTTTTTTTGAGGTTGTTGCTGTTGCCGTCACTGTCGACACTATGAAGCTGACTGACGTCACTGCGCGTAGATTTCTTTTTATTGTCGCTGTTGTTGTATTTGTTTGGATTGCTGCTAGCGATGTTGTTGTTTTTGTCCTGGGTGGTGTTCGATATATCTTCAGATTTGCAGCTGGGAATGCAGCCAATATTATTGTTGTCGCTCGTTGTTTCTGTTAGCGTTGCTGCTAATACAGCACAGACAATAAGGGGAATACAGTAAAATGCAGTAGCTGCCATACTTTCAGAATCCTTCAAAGTATATCCTGAAAATAAAAATTCCAAATTTTTATACAAAATTTTCCAGACTTAAAGCCATCATTCTTTAATGCGCTTATGCCACAAATATGAACAAGAGAAAACATTTTTGGCGGGAAATTAACTAACTTGAGGGACCGGTATTTTATTTGCTTTTTGAGTTAATAAACTAGAGGATTTTAGGAGGATGTTTCTTGGCAGTGAACAGCTGTCGTACTTTAAATCCAGCCTTCAGGAACACGATGTTGATCAACTGCGTGTGACCTTTGATCAAATGATATGCGTGCAGTGATGAATCAAATGCATATTTCCAACACAACAAAACATACTGTAAGTAAAAACTTCTCGAAAATGAACGCAAAATACCAGTGGTCCCAATCCCTACCGAAAGTACAGCTTTGGAAAAATAATTTATCAGTCAACTGCCTTAACCTCATTTATGAGCGTCTGAGAATTTTGGCTAAATTGTTTAACTCAGGAGTCTTGCAAGATAGGAAGCTTCCTGTCCTTAATTTAAATTTACTTCCACACAAGCCTACGTCTCATGCACGAATAAGTGGAAGATAAGGCAGGAATTTACTGGCTTCTTTCTAGCTCCGCTGATTAGAAGTGCAAAACGTGTGTATCACTTGGTTCGCTCCGCAATTTATACAACCAACACGTGCTGCAGTAAGTTTTAAAATGCATAAAGATATCGGTTTTATGCTTAAGAACAAGACTGCCCCGAAAATCAGTGTTTGGGTACCAGTTCAGTAACGTAGCTGGAAAAGCCTGGCTGTTCGATTCTAAGCTATGCAACTCAGTTTATTACAGATCGCCTACTTATGTATGTGCGTCAAAATACGGAGGCTGACAGAGCGGTCGTTTGCTTTCTTGCGAGTATCACTCACTAAGGCGCTACGTCCACTGCTTTCAAAATGGAAAGCGACATAACCTGCTGACTGGATTTCACTTTTCGGTATACTTATATTAATATATTGCGATCCACTCAGTTAACGAAAAATCTTAGTTACTTGCGAAGAAAAATATATAGAAAAGAGAAAGGATTGTGAGGGATTTCAGTAAGCACCAGCTTTTAAGCGGCATTCATCCCCCTTTACTCACCTGTCCAAGTTTATCTTTGATATATATATACAAACATATATATATGTATATACAAAGCACTTCCGATATTTTTGTTAAATTAAATTTGGTTTTCCTTAGAACCCTATTTATTTTTTTTTAAGAAAGAACATTTTTGAGACAACAACCATAGAAAAGCCTAAATGCATTTCAGTAGGAACCCAGGCTGAAACGCACCAGGCGAGCCGGTGCGATCATGCGTTTTTGCACAATACTTGAATTTGGTCAACTGCTGTCCCTTCACACCTACCTTATGTGCCTAATGTCGAAAATCATCGTAAATTTTGCACAAAAAGAAATGAACTATTTCCGTTTGGCGGTATTTTTTGAAAATAACTCAATAGTTCAATAAGTAATTTCCCCGCCAGAAATTTAATTGCCCGTGCATGAGAATCACGCGTAAATGAAGGCTGAACTTGAAGATTTAAGTCTTATTTGAACGGGGGACACTCTCCAAAGTCTGAGCCTTCCAATCTTTCTGGTTCTTGAGTTAGTCATTTACCCGCCAAAAAAGTTTCACGGGGCCGTACATGAGAACCACTTATGACTGGGG